AGCAAAAGATTCAACTAAATTTCATCCAAAATATTCAAAATATTTACGTGGGCCATTTCCTTATGTTTTACCATATACAAATATAACATATAATGATATAGAAAATTTCTATACAAATATTTTAGTTAACAAAAAAAGAGATACTCCAATAATTCAAACATCATTTGCAAATAATATTACATTTGAAAATATACCTTATATATTTCAACAAGGTATGTGGCATCCTCTTGGAATTACATCAATTCAACGTACAGCTATATTAGTTCCATTACAAAATCGAGAATATAATGCTAAAACATTTTTGTTTAATATGCATGCATTTGCTAGACGACAACAACTTACATATACTATAATACTTATCGAACAGGTAAAAAAATAACAAATCGAAAACAATAGATTTAATTTCAATAATCAGCAATAACGAGTTTTTTTTTGTTCTTCAGTATAGTTTTGAGAAGAGTTCGTGATTCTATTATGAATTTCAAACATACATATCTAGACAATTTCATTTTTTAGGGATGTAATTTCTTCAAATAAAACTGTGTATATCTTTGGATTTTGAGTTTTGTTTTAGTTAGTTTTTATATATCAAATTTATGTTGAGTTAATCTGGGATAATCTGAAAAATCCATCTCTATAGAATTTTGTTTTGTCAAGTTGTTATTATCTTAATTATCTTGTGATGATAGCAAAACAAAAGTTTCGCTCTTGAACATAAGCAGATCTCTATAAAAATTAGTTTTAGTAGGACAATTTTCCTTAGTCGGATCTTATTGAACATTTTATCATAATGTTAGAGTGTTAATTGCTAATTATATTTAATTAACTAACTAACTTCAATTAGTTGTTAGCAGACGGAACCAATATTTTTATATATGTTCATCACAAAAGAGTTTATTCAATAAAATAGAAAAGAACTATTCGCATAATTCCTGCATGATTAAAATGTATAAACACAATGTAACTGCTGTTGATAATCATAAGGAGATGATTTTATTCTCTCTATTTTCGGACATATTTCTTCATCATCCTTTTATTTAGTCCATCAGAACTACAATAAGGAAGGAGTTCATATATTATAATGAGATGTTATTGATATACATCTTTGATCGTATATCCACAATGTCTGTCACGTCTGTGTGAGATTCAGATTTTTACTTCTCTGCTTCAATACTTATTTTAGTTCGTGCTTCATAAATAATCAAAGTGAAATTGAAGATTGTCATGTTCTGCTGTTTTGACTGATTTTGCACATATGTGAAATAAAATTAATGTGTATTTTTATTCTGATTGTATATTTTTTGCTTCATTCATTTGAATGTATTGGTAAATAATTAGTAAATTGAGTAGCTTTTCTCAGACTAATTAATTATGTTGCAGTAAATATTTTCGATTTTTTAAATATTTGCAAAAGATATTTTTCACTATAAATAATCTTATTAAATTATAATCATTGCATACATTTATCTAATTCATTAGAAAAATCCAAATGTTTACGCTTGAATAATACAAACAAGTATTTGAATATATTTTGATTTATTCATGTAAACTCCACTTCTAATCCGGACGGGTAAAGGATATGTAAAGGGATTAGTCATCTTTCTAGTTATGACAGCATATCTTGTCTAGTCGTTTTCTAAAATGTTTCTAGTGCATGACCAGTCTGACATCATTTGTAGTCCACAGCTCAGGTCCTGGTTGCTTAACTAGCGACCATCATTCTGTTTGTTATGTCTAATCTTTTTGAGAAAAAGACTAACCACGTGATACCATTTTGACGCCTATCTAAAAGTGGTTTCAAATAACGGAAGAAAAGCGTCCACAGCACGGCATACAACGAATTGTAGTCTTATATGCAGACCAAACGCGGGACTAGTTTAAAAGATAGAAGTAACAGGTGGATCACGAATAAATGGCTGCGTTCTATGCTTTATTTTTTCACTATCTAATACGTTTTATTAAAAAAAAAAAAAATATACGAGAAGATGCTGTGTGAAAAGCCCTACAATCTACAATACAAAGTTTATTTAATGTATGCATCTTTGGTTTTTAAAATAGACAAAATTCTGTGTGATCCTTTTTTGACGCTGCGAACAAGATCTCTTGTTGGCGCACGATAAATTCCGTTTCTTATTTGACCAATTAATAAATCACAGTATTTTTAATTTATTCCATTGATAATGTTCCGTAATTGCTTAGCAGTTTGAAGCGATATCATGCTGTCATCACTCATTCGCATAAGTATTTTTTGCGTAGGTTTTCAGATTTCATTTGTTTTTATTAACTAACAGACTTATACATATGTGATTTGTTATTATGAATTTCGTCTGTCCCTCTGACAAATAACGTCAGAGTGAAGGAAAAAAAATATAATCGAAATACATATCAATTCGACTAGAATTGATCATCGATTATGCCCTCCGATATGACTCATTAATCGAAAAAATAAAAAAAGCAATTCATCCTGTACCAAAAAACTAACTTTTTTACAGAATCGAAATTTGATTACACAGAATTGTCTATTTTGAAAACTAAATATGCATAGCTAAGATAAATTTTATATTGTAGATTATAGAGCTTTTCACGCTGCATCTTTTAGTATATTTTATTTTTTTAAATAAAACCTATTCGATAATGAAAAGATAAAATACAAAATACGGTCACTTATTCTAGTCGACCCATTATAAGGAAAAAGATTCGATTCGATGCGATCATGCATACAATGAATTAATAGTTACTTTCCCAAAAATATTTTTTGCATTGCTGACAGACATCAAGAAAAATTATTATATATTGAAAACAAAAAGCTAAACACAAAAATAATCAAATCATGATTAAGGTTTATTTCAATTTTAAATTTTCTCAATTCAAACTAAAAAAATACACTGAAATTATGTAATTTACATATTATTAAATTTAAATCATCAAAATTTATATTTAAACTAAAATGAAATTATCCCATAAAGATATTTGAATTATTTTTAAAATAAATTATTTCTAAATTACTTGACAATCTAATAAATTTTAAAGCACATTAATAGGCAATTGTCGTTGAGAAGTAATTAGAATACTTTGTATTTTCATTTACGTTGTTGTGCTTCAATATAATTTTATACTTTTAGTATAAAAGGTACAAATATTTACTCTCTTGAGAGGTACTCGATAAACTCTTTGATATGAAGCAAACAAAGTTTCAAAGTTATATATTGAATATCAAGAAATATATAAAAAATATGGATTCGTTAAATATTTTGACAACACTTCAAATTAGACAACTTGCTTTTCTTCGGTTAGTTTCAGTTACATATCGAACTAACAAACGCCACTCTGCTATTGAGACAGTTTAAAATAACAACTGTCTGCCCTTAAATGGTAGTTTGTCATCAGAAGGTTCATCAGATATCGAATATTGTCGGATCAAATGTTTGAATCCACCGTTTGTCTTATTTTTTCCTCGCTTCTGTTCTGCTAACTAGTCTGGACAGAACCAATGGTCCTGACAGGTATGCAAGACGTTTTAGATTAAACCTGCCAGTTAGTGTGAACATTTTAGACTAATCTTGTTGGATGTCCTCACTTACGTTTTGCTTACTTTGGAAGTACTGTTCGAACTGATGTTTGATTTTCATTATCATGATTATTCTCCTCTTTTTGCATTGAATTGGAATTAGTGGCGGAGCCAGAATACCAGCACCCCTATTGCTTTCTTTGAGAAGAGAAGTGAGTGGCACGTGGCACCCTCGCTACATGTGCTGTATTATCCGCAATAGAAATCATCAGGAAACTAGCTAACGGTGAAACTAGAACAATAACTCGTTTATTGTTCTGGAAAGGGTAGTGGAGAGTACTGCTACTCTATCCATACCATGTATCTATGATCACACAATGCACGTAGCGAGGGTGCCACTGCTCTTCTCTCAAAAAAAGTACAAGAGTAGCACTAGTGTTCTGGCTTCCCCGCTAATAGAGACGTGCGGGATCATGCTTTTTTGTTTCCGGTCCCAATCTAGAGAAAACTTTTCCATAGTTTATTTGGATCGCATCTAACAAAATCTTCAATAGTTGTTTTTTATTTATTTAGTCGATGATTAGCACTTTGTTGGGTCGTCTCTCTTTAATTATGTTCTGAATGATAGGATGTATAAGATAATTCGCTTGTAACCATAGAATACCTAACTATAATCTTAAGTTTCGGTTAGGATAAATTTTATTGTCGTAGTGCTAATCGTCAGGATCAGGACTAAATTTGGTCTCATACATCTCTAGAGTTGAATTAGTAAAACTTAACATTTTATTTGTAGTCATTTTATTAAAAAGAAGCATCATACAATATTTCATAGTAGGTAAATAGTAGTTTAGTTACTAGGGAACCTCTTCAGATATCTCCTTCCAATTTTAATAATTGTATGCCTATAAATACTACACAGAACCATAAAAGAATTTCCATTCCTATTGAAAGTTGACTAAGCTATCGAATTCCTCATATATCTATTTTCTAGAGATTTCAGGGTTTCGGAAAGCTTGGATTTTCGAATTTTCGATCTGAAACTTTGTGCATATAGAGAACTCTACTAGACAAGTTTTCTTAAGGAAACTTCAAAAGTTTTGAACGCGGTCTCTTCGAGATATGAAGCTTTCAAAAAATACATGTTGAATATACTATTCATGGAAAAAGTCTATGTCTTGAAACTCTCATACCTTGAACAGACTTTGTTCAAAACTTCTGAGTTTTTTTTATGGAAGTTAGTCTAGTTGAGTACTCTATATATGCTAGGTTTCAGATCAAAATTCGAAAATACGAGTTTTTTGATAGTTTGAGGTTTAGAGAATAGACATATTAACAATTCGATAGCTTAGTCAAATCCCAATAGGAATCAAAATCCTTTTAGGATTCTATGTAATATCTATAGACATATAATTATTGAAACTGGAAGAAAACTTCTGAAGAGACTCCCTTGTTGGTAAAATTAATAGAAAATATCAGAGCAATGGATACTACTATCTTATGAATAGATAATATCATTTTGAAAACTTTTTTAGTTGTATTTTTAAGGCTTCTCCACTTGATCATCGTTTTAATAAAGGTCGATTATATAATACTGCTATTAATTATCTTGAAAAACAATCTTTAAATATAACATGTCTTGTATTACATGATGTTGATTTAATACCTGAAGATGATGGAAATTTTTATACATGTGAAACAAAATATCCAAAACATACAACATCACGTGTTCGAGAACTTAATAATAAACGAGGTTATATTCGATATTATGAATTTTTAATTGGTGGTGTTCTTTTATTAACATTTGATATGTATAAAACACTTAATGGATTTTCAAATTTATATTGGGGTTGGGGTGGAGAAGATGATGATTTAGCATTAAGACTTATTCAACAACGAATGTGTATTGTTAGACCAATATATGAATTAGCTATTTATACTGGTAGAAAATAAAATAAATATTCTTTAGATCCTTTTGTTTTTTGAATATTTGTTTCTTTATAGGATTACCTCATCCACGTGGTCCACGAAATAATGCTCGTTTTGGTTTATTAACATGGTCAACTCTTCGTCTTCGTACTGATGGTTATGCACAAATTGAATCATTAACACGAATTATTGATATACATCAAACATTAACTGTAACTTATTTGAAATTAGATGTTAATCTTGATAAAACTCTTAATAAACAATATTCAATGGGAAATATTTCTTCTTTATTAAATACAATCAATGTTCATATGACTTCAACAATTAAAACTATTATAAGAACTAAAACGATAAAAGAATCGTAATTTTCAGTTTAAGCAATGTTTCAAATATATCTAAATAAATAAATCTAAACAATTTTTTTGTATGATAATTTATTTTCTTTTGTTATTCTACTACTTAAGAATCTGAATTTACTATAATATTCTTTTGTCTGACTTTTTTTCACTAGAATTATTTATATTATTTATAATAATATTATGTTCATACATCTTTCACTTGTTCAATATTCAAATAACTAAAATTGATCTAAATAGATAGTAAAGTGAGCGATGTTTCTTTTTCCTTTTTTGATGAATAATAATGACTTAAATAATCTAGTCGAATCTGAATGTTATAAGACAACGTACCATCTAACATTCCCCGTACTATCTAATATCACTATTCTATGAATAATCTCATGTCATCAAAAGTTTGTTTTTTAATCAGTCTTGCAAACACTCTCTCTCAGTGCTCATGGCTGGTATACAGCAGGGATACGACTTTTCACAACCGGACTCGGATTGCTGTACCTCATATGCGACCAGAGCTAATCGACAATCGGCGAATACTTTCACAGCCACCGAATGGTTTTTCAAATTTTTATTATATATGAAAAAGTGTGCTATTTCGTTTCTTTCATAAACAGCAAAAAGAAAAGAAATCATCTCAAATTTCTTAAACAAGCAAGTGAATCAGGATTCCTTCGGTGTGTTTCTGCTTCTAAAATTCGATCAATGCCGCTAACTATACGTTTACTTGTTACTGATGACACCGGGATGAAACGCAATGTTAGTGCCAAACGTTATAATTGTAAATATATACATGAATGCTTTTTTCTATCACGATAATACATGTTCATCTTCTTGATAATTCATTTTCTTCTCCATGTATTCAGCCACTTTTGCATATGATTCATTATCATCATCTATAGATAAATTCTAATTAAAAAACGAATTCTTTTAATAAAACATTATCGCTTTCCACTTCTATGACCTGTTCTCAAGTACAATAAATTGCTCAATCATGATCGAGATGGTTTTCCCTTCTATACTTTTATATAAGTTAGCAGACGGAAAAAGTAAAAAATATTTTGAAACATTGAGATCTTATTGATTGCCGGGTGGAGTCCGAGTATAGTATCTTAGCCGAAACCCAAACCAAAATTTTTGTCATGGGCCTGGTCTCTGGATCAATGCTCCTAGCTGGAACGGGTACTGGGTTTCAGACTGGTTCTAGGACACTACTCATGATGATATTAATTTAATGGAATTTCATTCAATAATATTTTCAACTGGTTTGACATAGATTAGCTATGAGAAAAATTTAGAAAATGAGTTCCTTTGTCCCATAGACACTATGTTTCAAATCTACTTGAAAGAATATCTTGTAGATGAATTGTGACAAATAAATCTAGCATTAATTATTGGTAGCATTAAATGCAACAGGTAGACTTGAGATATGTTTATTAGAATTGCGTCGATAAATTACGATTAATAAATGATTACTCAATTCTACTGTTATACTTTATTTAATATTGCGCTAAAATTTCTTATATATAATCATCTAAGAAGATCTAATTCATTAAAATCAATCCATAAGTGCTCAAACAAAAATAAGTCAATGTCTTATATTCTTTTTTTTTACTTGTTCTCCGATGCTATTTTAATTTTACAGATCTTCGTCCTATTCTCTGCTTTTAGCTATCGTATATCTATTTCATTTGTATCGAACATTTAAATAAATGAATATACTGAGCTTCTCGTTTATCCGATAAAGTGAATTTGGTAATAACGAAAAGGAGAAGATAATAACTTTTTTTTGCTTCATGTTAAATCATACTAGTAAGAGCAATGTTGCGGTCGCACTATCGGTAGCAGATTGCCAGTCAGAGAATAACTATTGATATACCATGGTAGAATGATGATCAGAAGATAACCGGCTCTTTAAGTATTGAACTACAACCGGTTGATTGGCGATGTACCCGTGGTTTTTGTCCGGCTTGAATTATATGAGCGGTGAAGTTAAATTAAAGCGTCACCATTTGAGTGGTAAAGTGCTCGTACCTGAGTGCAATTACTCAACGAAGACATATGGAGAATGCAACTTCGGATAATGAAAAACGAATCGATTCAAAAATCTTACTACTTAGATGTCAAATCAAAAACGAGATGAATAATCTATTTGATAATGCAGAAAAATTAGTTAAATTTAATCGAAGTTTATCACAACAATTACAAATAAAGAATGTACTTAATCCTTATACTCAATTATTTATCAATGTACAACTTGCAAATAGACTGAAAATTCTTTCAAATGGATATTATCGAAATCGGTAAAATAAATTTGTTAATTTCATTTAGCATATTCAAAATTCTTTTCATTTTAGTTACGGTAATTTAATTCCACTCGTATGTCTCCTAAAAATATTTTCTTCTGATTATTTTTTAAATTTGTTTTAGAATATAGCAGCAAGTAAAGGTTTAATAGAATTTATAATCAATGATGAAATTGATTATGAAGAAATGGAAATAGAATATCGTTCAAAACATTATCCAATTATAACAAATCTTTTAATTCATCAAGTTTATGATAGTATTAATAAATGTATGATTACATTTCGGCAAGCTATTGATAATAATTATCTTGATATAGAATTATTTATTTATTCATGTTCAAATATATCAATGTCAATACATGAAGCTTTTTATTGTGGATTAATTATTGGTGAATTACGTACAAATATAATTGAACAAGAATTTCCTAAACAAATAATAAATATAAATGAAAAATATGATTTTGATTATGATATATTATTTTCATTATTAAAAACAATTGTTAATAATTTAAATGAATTTATAAATACAATAAAGATTATTGATGAATGTCAATTAACATCAGATGGATATATTCAACATAAAAAAACAAGAGAATGTTATTTATTAACACAAGCTATAGAACTTGGTCTAGTTTCATTTCAAGATAGTTCACAAATAACTCCATTCAATAACTCGAAAGTTGTAAAATAAACATGGCTTGATTCTTATTTTCCTATCTTTCTTCATTCGCCATCTCATTTTGTGTTTGCTTGTTTTTTCAAATCAATCTTTAAATGAGGAAATAGAAATTGAAAAAAGAACAGAGAACATCATTTGTGACTAAGAACTATACATGCCCATCGTGACTAAAAATCCACCGCGATTCTAGAAACGACAAGGCTAATGCGTCACGATAGTTTTAAAAAAGAAGTGACAATGATAGCATTGCCATGAATATCTCTTCTATGGACTCAAAGATGAACCAAAAATAAAATAAAATTGATCATCATTAGCAAGAATATCTCTAAGACTTCTTTTAAAATTCTGACCTCATTCTGTTCTTTGTCAAATGGCCCGAATTCTATAATTTCTATTTGTGATATAATCAGAAAATATTTTACATGTAAGTTGTGTAACTTTTAGCATTCGACACTTGCCAACGATGGAATATTATCAACAGTAGATGTAATTTATCCTGAAGAAGATCTTATCTTAGAAAAAAATCTACCGGTAATTTGAAATACTCTTGACATATTATTATTGATATTTTTAGGTCTTTTCGGATGCATTCACGTTCGATTTATTAAAAGCAACTAATAGTTTAATCGATGAAGTTCAAAACGATGAAACACATCAGACAAATATGAATCAATTTTTATCAATGATGAATACTTGTTAAAAAAACAAACAACAATTTCAAAATCTGTCTTATCCTACTTATTATGTAAATTTTGTTTCTGTGCTCTATTAAAGGATCTACAAGGGCAGTTGCTCACAAAGGATGTGGGTATGAATCTTCTCTTCACTAACACTCACGTTCTAATCGTACGCGACAGGCATATTTTCTAGAATATACACTTCTCCGATCAATTATATAAGAATACTCGTTGTATATTAATAATAGCGCTTTTCTAGTTTGCTTTTGTATAGCAACTGACATAATGTGGCGGCTGCATGTTTAGAAACGAAGTATTGTTGACTTTTTTCCTTAGTAGTAGCAGTGGTTTGGAGGAAAGATCTCTGGAAGACCAAAATTCCAAAAACTAGTTATCTGGATTCTATCGAAAATGTTTCGAAAATAAGTTCATCTAATAGAGGAAACATTTTGATGTCCCTGAGCTCTCCACAATTTATCTTTAGCAAACGATAATCATTTTGTGCTGAGCCTAAAAGGCTATTTTCTGTTGTTTCTATGGACATTTATATGAGTTTCCTGTGTTTTACACGTTGAGACTATTTTCAGAATGAATGTAGTTCGCTAAAGGTAGATCGTGGAGAGTTTGTGGACATCAAAATGTTTTTTTATAGAATCCAGAAAACTGGTTTTGAAGAGTCGTAGTTTTCCAGAAACGTTTCGTCCAAACATGTTAATGAGAATTTGACAAATACATCTACCTATAAAAAATCATTTCAGCTAATCAAATCTTTTTTCTAATTGATTCTACGTATTACCGTTAAGGAAAAAAGTCAAAAATACTTTGTTTCTAAACCGTTTGCTTCTAATTCAATCAGTTTTTTGTGAGGTCATTCTGTTAGTCTGTGTGGCTTATATATAAATATTTCGTTGAATACAATTTATCATTTATATTAGAACAATTAAATGAATCAATTTATGATGAAAATCATTCTCTCATAAGAAATTAATTTATTGTATTCAAAATTACTTTAAAAGTTTGCATAACGAGCAACTGTCCGTTTTCCCTATTGAAATTTTTTTTTTCTGTTGATAAACTATGGATTTTTTTTTCATAAATCGTGATAAATTCGTTATATAGTAAAAATTCTAATATATTGTATATGTTATATGATCATATTAATAAATTCTATTATTTGTTTGATAGTCTCATATTTCATTTGAATGAAGGAAAGAAGAGGTTGTTACTTAGAGAAACGACAAATGCAATGGCAACAGTTACTGAGGTATTGTAAACTTTACCAGAAGAAAGAAAAACAAGAACTCAAACGATGGAATTTCCATTTGATATTAATGTTGTATTACCTAATGAAATAACTATAATTAATGGAGATTATCGAATACTTAATCATGGACAAACAGCTAGAATATTGTTTGTATTGTCTTTTTTTTTTATCTTCGATTATGTTATTTATTGTATTTTTCTAGAGCTTCAGAGAAACTGACATCTATTATTGATGTCGTCGGTGAAGCTTCATATAAAGTAAATTTTTATAAAAATAAAACAACATTTTATCAAATAGTTTCAATTTTGACTTTTATTATTCTTATTCAGGCACAAGGATTATCTGGTCCGGTTACTACAGCACGTAAATTTCGTATATCTGATCATCGTTTATATCTTGTCAAGAATTCAAGTGATAATCAGTATGAACATTTCTATTCGAAGATATTTAATCTCTTGGTTTTTTTTTCAGTAACTTAGGTTCTGTTATTGGTTTATTAAAAGTCGGTGCAAAACATTTATTTATTTATGATTCACATGGTCAAGTACATGAACGAACTCCATTATGTGTATTAGATTTTTTTGTTCATGAAAGTAAACAACGGTCAGGATATGGAAAAAAATTATTTGAAGCTATGCTTGAAGTAAATTTATTGAAATATTTTATTATTTAATTTTGTTTTGCTTTTTAGTTTGAAAAATGTAATGCATGTGACTTAGCTATTGATCGTCCATCAAATAAATGTCTTGGATTTCTTCAAAAACATTATAATTTATCAGCACCAATTCGTCAAGTTAATAATTTTGTTGTTTACAATGCATTTTTTAATCGATCACCTGGTAAGAAAAAGAATAAAAAAAAGTTTTTCTTTTCCAAATTTTTTTTTTTTGTTCTCAGTTTCTCAAAATCGAAAATTATCAGCATCAAAACAACGTCATGATATAAGTTTACCAAATGATCTTTTTCGACGTCAAGAAACAACACATTGGTTATTATCATCGGAAAAACCACAACAGCAACAAAATCGTCGACCATTAACAGAACAAAATGAAAGTAATCATAATAATAGATTCCGAACATTATCTGATGAAAATGAATTATTTAATAATCGACGACAAGTTACAAATATTGGGTAAGAATTTTAAATTGGATATTTAAAAAAAACAAAGGAAATTTTTTACTATTCAATTCAAATAGAAATTCATCGGTTAATAATGAACGAAAACCTTTCTCAGCTTTTACAACGTCATATGGTCAGCATTATAATCAAAATTCTTTATTACGTGAACCAACTAAAACTAGTATATAAAAGAAAAATTCTATTGCTACTTTTATTTATATTTTTGATTTAAGATGAAATTACTCATTCAGCAGCACCGTATATTCATCGAACACATACGGAATTATTCAATGAAAACAAGTAAAATTTTTTATTATTTATTTATTTCAATTAATTCTTTTCTTCTAGTCCTTTTCCAAGTCTTCAACGTTATAATACAAATCCAGTAATTTCTACAAATAAACAATCAATATCAAATCCACAACAAAATTATACATATAAAGGTTATCAATCATCATTATCTTCAATAAATAAAGCATCAGAACCTGAACCACTTACTTCAATCTATACATTTCCATCATTAATTAAAACAAACAATAATTGGCGTAGACCACATCAACAACAACAACCTACTATTGATTCATCATCATCAGCATGGAGACTTTTTGGTGTAAATCGTTTACTTAATTAATTCGTTTTTTTTCTTTTTTTCGTGTAATTTTGTACATCTAAATTACAACTTTATTTCAAACACTGACCGATGCAGAACTGTGAAAGGAATACACAAACAATACAATTATAATTGTATTCAATTTGTTATTTTTGTTTCAACCGAATACGCAATATCTGATACATAGAAAAAACCTTATGGAATGTTCAAAATATAGAAGATAACTCGCGAGAGAATCACTCGTCGTTTGACCTTATATTATGCCTACAATATCGCCATGGGTTTTTGAAACCGAGTTATGATCATTTTTGATGAATTTTCCACTAAGTTTTAGGTATACACTGAAAAATCATAGTACAAAACTTTGACATGAAATTCTGCTCGATAAATAAATTGAATGACAACACATTGAATATCTTGAAAGTTTCAGTCGAAAAAAATGTTCTTCTGTTGAGACATTGAATTTGCAAAAAATATTCACTTGTCATAGGCATAATATAAAAATCGAGTTTACTTGAAAATTCAATATCTCAACAAAGGAGTATTCTTTAATAGCTGAAACTTTCAGAATATTCTATGAATCATTAGATCTATCTACAGGCAAAATTTTAAGTCAAAATTTCATTACTTAGCTTTTTTAATGAATTGCTTAAAACTAACGAGAGAAACTCTTCAGCTGACTCCTTCCAATTTCAATAACTTTTTGTCTATAGATACTACTTAGTGTTTTAGTAAAAATCTTAAAAGGATTTAGGTTTCTATTAATAGTTGACTAAGCTATCAAATTTTTTTCTGGAGGCCTCAAGTTTTCGGGAAACTTTGCAAATATAGAGAACTCAACTAGACTAACTATCATAAAAAAGTTCAGAACTTTTGAACAAAATCTCTTCAAGATATGAAAGTTTCAAAAAAAAATGCATGACATATAGACTATTCATGAAAAAGAGTTCATATCTTGAAAGCCTCATATTTCGAAGAGACTTTGTTGAAAACTTCTGAATTTTTTTAATGGATGTTAGTCTAGTTGACTTCTCTATATACGAAAAATTTTAGATGAAAATTCGAAAGTACGAGTTTTTCAAGTACTTGGGGACTCCAGAATCTATAGGCAAAATACCATTGAAATTGGAAGGAGGCAACTGAAGAGGTTTTTTCGTAAGTTGAAAATTTAGTAAAATAGTCGTAATTCGGCATCAAAGGCTCGCGGAGACAAATCCTTCTAGACTTTTTCTAGTCTCATCAAGACGTTCGTGAAAATCCAGCGTAAGTTCAAACAGACACGTTTACTGGAATAAGAATGTTGCACATTATTCAGTTCTAATCATCTTTATATAACAACAA